GGATTTGAATGAAGGGTAACAGACTCCTAAATACCTTGTAGCCTCCTGCTTATAAGTGTAGTGCACAACACACCCATAAATAAGACTATACTAGACACGGCTTGTAGACTCCCTAGGATAGAACTGCTCTGATACCAAGTTTGTCATGCCTCAAACCTGAAGAAGCATGGCCGGCACCCGGTACCATACTCGACTCGAGTGTACCACTCTGTAATTGTGAAATCTAGAGAGGTAACTCTCAACCTAGGCCGATGAGGCCATATTCTGAATCATCTGAAAATATCGTCTCTCATCTGAGGGGTAAACATACCAAAAAGCTCATATATATATATACAACTATACAGGATGACGAGGCTACCATGAACATTTACTGATATACAAACTATACAGGACTTATCTGCAAGCCTTTAGAGATAACTAAACTGTACCATGGTCGGGGCAGAGCCTCAACCTACCCATCAAACATGTATATATAAAATGGACTCCAATGTCCAGACCTGGTAACTCCGAGGAAGTGGATCTTACCAATCAAGCTGATGTTTGACTTTGTCTACTGGGAGTTTGTCCAACTGTTAATCAAGAGCTGGAAGCATGAAATGCAGTGTCCACGGCAAAAGGGACATCAATATGAAATAATGTACCGAGTATGTCGGGCAACAGAATAACTAAAAGCTGAAACTGANCATACCTTATCACAATCTTTCTAGTCACCAACTTGAACTCGTCTCTTCTCACCTTAATCTACAACAACGATAATAATACTATCATTAAGTTACGAAAGGTACAACTAACACACAACGAACGACAAGCTTATTTTGTATTAAAACGGACAGCATCTCCCCTATAATCCTTACTTCCTCCAAATTCAAGATAACACCAACAACACCAAAAACAACAATAATAACATATATACATTATTTTCCAACCTTATGTATACCACACAATACTACAAAATATCCCAACACACCCCAATCTCTTCATACACAAAACGGCCACCGTAGTAGTGTCAACAATCCGAAAATGTTACGATGAACGACCAGCCCAACATCCTGCATTTATGTGGTGTTTCTCCACACCCTTCATCCTCCAAAACACCACAATATAGTAGTAAAACACGCAGCCCAACAGCACCACAAAACAGTCCGCTACAAGTGAATAACCCGAACTCATGGCTTCCGATCACCGTCCCGTGAGTTCTTACAAATATAGAACGACTTACTATGCATCTACAGCAGAAAAAAATGGATGAAAGAGAGTAAACTTACCTTATTTGGTGGATAACTCGGCCCCTATCTTGGTTCTTCAAACTCTAGATTTTACCTCCAATTAGAACTTGAAAGGGAGAGAAAATCAATTGGGGTTTGTGAAAAAGTTTTTGGGAGGAGTTTTACAGACATTAAGTCTGGTTATTTTTCCCTATTATCAGCCTAATATATGAAGGGGATAGGCCTTTAAAAAGGTCTCTTTGAACGACCTGAACTGGCCGATTTTCGGACTACCTGAACTGGCCCAGTTTTGGATTCTCGTTTAAGCAAGTAGGTGACAGTCTGCGCAGTCTCGCAAAAATGCTCATATCTCTCTACTCCGATATCGTATTGACAAACGGTTTAATGCGTTGGAACACCCCATAACTCTACTTATATTGGGAGAAAATGGCTATTACATTTGACCCAAAGTTTCAGTAAAACTTATGAACGTAACTTGGGATGACTTTCATCGACTTTTGTTCCACCACTCGCTTGACTTCAAAACATAACACACGAATATCATACGACTAACATAACTCATAACATATCCTCCTTATCATGTTAAACACCCTGGTCTCACTCCAAAAGTACATGCTATAACATTCCCAATTTTTTGATTTTCAACGAAACATTATTTTTTTAATTTCTTTAGCTTCTGAACCTTCCAACCATCTTTGTACTTGTTATTCATGATCTTCAATATTTGTAACCTCCGAGGTAACATGATTAACTTACTTTATAAGCTTTTCAACTATGATTTCATTTCTGAGCTTACATCAATTGACTTACGACGTACTCGTACGTACGAAAACATGGGTTGTAACATGTCTTTCGGGAAAAACCATATGGGCTTAGCCCAAAGCGAACTATATCACACCATGTTAAGAGAGTATTTGAGCTAGTTTAGCCCAACAAATAATCCTTCATCTATGGCTAAATCGCATCAATGTCGCGGAAGTGGAAATTTCAACCAAATATTGCATCAACAACACAAGTTGAAGACGAAATTGACATCAATACTGAAAACCGCAACTCCGACGAACAAAATTACTGAAGAAACGCATAAATCGACGGTGTAATGAAATTGCTCCAAACCCGAAATTCGACCAATAGAAACCTAGTTACTGTCGGTGTATATATAGTTCCGGGTCGGCTAGGCTATGCCCGAGTCCAAATCTCAAATATGTACACGTTATTACAACAAATAAATAATTGGGCTTTATAGCATGGGCATGTACATTACAAAAAAGAAGCAGTACTCTGTAGTGCTAAGTTGGGCCTTCGTCTAGTCTAACCGTGCATTTAAGTTTTTTACTAAGCAATGCCAATCAGAAAGGCTCTTAACTATATATATATTTCGTAGCTCATTTTTTTAAACTAGATCTTTCAGTTTGAGAGTTCTAATGATAAATACGAATCCAGCTTTAGATCAATACGGGTGTCTATATAGCATATGGTAGGAATACATTAAGAATCACATCAGTCAATACAAGTGATGCTCTCTATTAATTAACTCATACTCCGTACTAATTAATAACGGTAAAACTAGCATATAAGTTGGAAACAGATTGTATTTTAACTACTATATTTTGAAACTTGGCCCTTCAGCATTATTAAAAAGTACTAAAGTTATGTTCGCAGATCATCACACTAATTGATTTGAATAAGAAATGACAACTTGATTCAAATAGTCATGTGGCATCATTATGAACTAAGGGAGGCCCAACACGTGCTCCTCTGAGTTCACAAATAATTAAATTAAGAGCAGATCATCTTATAACTGATTGTTAATCTCTTATTGAACAGTCCATTAAATGCAATTATTTGTTTATCTGCGAATAAGAGGAAATAGAATTGTTTTTTGGTTGACAGATGGATGTGAGTGATGTGACGATATATTAAAGGAAAAATGGACAAATTTGTCTTTGTACCATTAAAATTTGAAAAATCGTTGCTCTTCGTTAGACTTTTGATTAATCATAGGAAGAAGTATCATTTTTATGCTTGACTTCAAAAAGATCTCTTACTTCTTAGTAATTTTAAACCATAATCAAAAGTTGAGGGTAAGTTTTGCCTTTTCTTTAATTTGGATATGTATATTCCTAGAGTTTGCTCATCTCACTTTGGAACTCCATCAACAATATGTGCAAATACGAGACTATTTGCTAACATAAATATATGAACGAATTCAAGTGTAACCATGAACAAGATTAATTAATTTCAAATAGTACATAGCTAAATTTAAAAGTTTTCTCTGCATTTAATTGAAGATAGTCATAAGACCACTTGTGAATATGATCCTTTCAAACGAAAAATTAAAATTAAAGCCATGTGACTGGTTCGATTTTCTATGCCACAACTGCTCGCTTCCTCAATTGAGGAGTAGGAATTACGACGCTAAATGTATTTAATTTTCAATATAAATTCAAAATTTTAATTTTGTAATCTTCTAAAATTATAAATAAAGCACCAAAATTCATATATTAATTAAATAAATTTGAATTATTTAAACCAGTTATTAGTTTCATATCATTTAACTGGTCTAATAAGTACTTGATATAAATATTGAAAATTGAAACTTGCGAAAATTTTATGAATTTATATTATAAATTAAACATGTTAAATATTTTATAATATTCCAGTATTTAATAAGTATAAATTAAGTCAAGAATAATAATACTAATAATTTAAACATGCGATTCATGATACAAGTATTTAATTAGACAACTCATCATGCATTGAAAAGCTGTAATGACTTGGGGGATGGGGGAGCTGAAGAAAGGCCTATAAATTACGGTCCTTCATATAAAGCAAAGAACTGCACACATTGTAACACATTTTTTCTTATTTTTCTCTGTCGATCGTAGCAATACTATAGTCATGACTCGCAGTTTTGCTTTCTATTTCACTGTTGCCTTAATGATAGCTTTTGGTAAATGACCTTTTCTACATCTCACTTTTACACATGCATATAAATAATCTTTTACATATATGCCTAGACTAGATCAGGCTATGCATTGCTGGTTTATGCACACCAATTAATGGTAAAATATGAGTATTGATTTTGAAATTAATTATTTGTGTTTTCTTATGAAATACTGTACAGTTAATTTCGCTCCAAAAGCAGTTGCAATGAGAGACGTGGCGCATGATATGGAAGGACTCCAAAGAAATCGATCATCCCAATGGTGTTAGGATCGTGAAACCGGGTAGTGCAGAATTTAGCCAAACAATGTTATAATGACAATAATAAATACAATTCAAGTTGATAATAACAGCAATTAAAGTAGATAAAGAAGACACCAATTTAACGTGGTTCGGTCAGTGTGACCTACGTCCACAAGCGGAGAGGGGCAATTTTACTATACCACTACAAAAAAATAATGTTATAACGGCGGTTATTTTGGCGTATAACGGCGGTTTAAAACTGTCACAATAGACTAAAATGGCGGTTTCGATAAACGCCAGAATTCCGATCGCCAGTAACATATTGCGGCGGTTTTTCGAAAACTGCCATAATCTAACATTTGATAAAGCGGCGATTTCCAAATTGCATAATACGGCGGTTCAGAACCGCCCGAATTGTGTTCCCATATGTACTAGTACATGTTTAAACTGGCGGTCAAAACTGCCACAATTGTGTTCCATTATCTTATTTACTTATTTGTCTTCTTATAATTAATCCTCTTTTTCATGCTAATGTATCAAAACATGCCAAATACTATAGAATGGTTCTGACACAAATACAAGCCATCAATTAAGTAAAATATATATTATTAAAAAATAAGTATAGGTACTTCAATATTACATTATCAGATAAACTAAAATTCCAAAAAGAATCATACTCATTTCTTGCAACATTTTTGAATGAGCACTCGGTGTAATCTGTATTGGGTCTGCCTTCTTAACATCAGAATGTCATGTATATTTATCCAAACAGAACTGCTATTTGGGGGATCTTTTAAACTCATTTTTTAAAATCATCTTAATCTCTTGGAAAATTTTTTCTCAAATATCTTTCCTCAGAAGCTCTAATTCCTGTTCCCTGCATAAAAAAAATTACATCACATATAGAAGTTAAATTTCGACGAGTGTTTACAAGAAGTAGACACTCTTTTAGTCTAACTCTAACTCCTAGCAATGATACCATGTAACTCATAAAATACATAAAAGTTGTTGATCAGACTCAAAGTAAATGTAACGACCCAGCCGGTCGTTTTGAGAGTAATAGTCCCGATCCCCTATTTACTAGTTTTTCCATATCTATTTATGCTATTGTGACTTGGCGGGAGGTTTCGTTTTGGTTTTTGGAGTGTTTTGGGACACTTAGTCCCTAAATGGAGGTTTAAGCCTTAGGATTTGGACCGTAGTCGGAATTAGTGAAGATGACTCCGAAATGAAATTCCGTCAATTTCGTTAGCTCCGTTAGGTGATTTTGGACTTAGGGGCGTGTCCGGAGTGTATTTTGGAGGTTCGTAACTTATTTAGGCTTGAAATGGCGAAAGTCAAATTTTTGGAGATTTTGACCGGTAGTGGACTTTTTGATATCGGGGTCAGATTTTATTTTCGGAAGTTGGAGTAGGTCCGTAATGTTGAATATGACTTGTGTGCAAAATTTAGGGTCAATCGAACATGGTTTGGTTGGTTTCGGCATCAGTTGTCGAATTTAGAAGTTTCAAGTTCTTTAAGTTTGAATCGGAGGATGATTTGCGATTTTAGCGTTGTTTGATATGATTTGAGGGCTCGACTAAGTTTGTATGGTATTTTAGGATTGGTTGGTATGTTTGGTTGAGGTCCCGGGGGTCTCGAGTGAGTTTCGGGTGGTTAACGAACTTGGAATGGAAGTTGAGAAATTTCTAAAGTTTGGTCTTTTGCTGGTGTGGTCGCACCTGCGAGGTTATTAGCAGCAGGTGCGAGGCCGCATGCACGGAAGGTTGAGCGCAGATGCAGAAGGGGTGGAGATCAGCATAGGTCACAAGTGCGATGGTTTCTCCGCACCTGCGATAGCGCAGATGCGGACCAGTGGTTGCAGAAGCGGAGGCATCCAAGGTTAGTCATTTTCGTAGGCGCGCCCACATTTTCGCACCAGCGGGCGCGCAGGGGCGAGCCCAGGCTCCGCAGGTGCGGAAATGCCTGGGCAGTGTTTAAAACCGAAGGGCTTCGTAATTTTTATCATTTTTGACTTTGCAAACTCGGTTTAGGGAAATTGTTTAGAGCATTTTCGAGGCATTTCTTGAGGTAAGTCCCTTGTGCTTATTTTTTATCAATAATCTTGCTTCCCCATTTATTTTTCCACCTAGTTAGTGCGTATTTAAGGTGAAATTTGGAAATTTGAGGCTAGGGATTTGGAAAGTTTGATTTGTGAATTTGAAGGACCATTTGGTGTCAGATTTTAGTAAATTTGATATGGTTAGACTCGTGAGTGAATGGGCTTTCGAATTTTGTGACTTTTATCTGATTCCGAGACATGGGCCCGAGTCGACCTTTTAGGACGAATTTTGGAACTTTTGTTAAAGTATTGATTTCATTAATTAGATGAGTCTATTTTGGTTGTATTTATGATATGTAATTGCTTTTGGCTAGATTTGGGCCATTCGGAGCCGGATATTTATGGGAAAGGCATTGTGACCGATTGATTGAGCTTGGTTCGAGGTAAGTGGCTTGCCTAACTTTGTGTGGGGTAAATCCCCTTAAGATTTGGAACTATTGTGATATGTGAGCGTTGTGTACGTGAGGTGACGAGTACGTACACAGGCTAGTTGTGGAAAAAACCCGATTTTCTTACTAAGCAACAACATGTTCTTCTTTTATTTTGAGTTATACCATTTTAATAAGTATTAATCCATTTTCATTCTTAATTGTGTTATTTCAATATGTATAGCTATCCTGTTTAGTCTAATACAGCATATCTACGTGTATTAACTGCTTATGTGAACTCTGTGCAGCATGCTTAGTGAATTTTCTGCTTCTTCCTTGACTGGTACTTAGTCTAAATCATAAGATTTCGTGATGTAATTGTATTTCTATTATTTGCGCTGCATATTTACTTTGGGACTACAGAACGGTATTCCGGGAGATCCCCCTGTACTGCATATTTACTTTGGGACTATGGAACGGTATTCCGGGAGATTTCCCTATCTTGCATATTTACTTTGGAACTACGGAACGGTATTCTAGGAGATCCCCCTACACATTTATATTTGGGACTACGAGACGGTATCTCAGGAGATCCCCTATTGTATTTCTGTGTATTAAGCTGTTACCTTCTATAAATTCTTTCTTGTTAAATTTCAGTCTTTATTTACTGCGATATTTCCATTTTGCCTTGCTTTATTATCATATTCCAGTAGGGCTCGGACCTAACCTCGTCACTACTCTACCGAGGATAGGCTTGGCACATACTGGGTACCGATTGTGGTGTACTCATGCTACTCTTCTGCACATGTTTTTGTGTGCAAATCTAGGTATATCTTATCAGCCCCGCTACTAGCTGAGAGTTCTTGCTGCTGTACGGAGATTTCAACTTATATCTGCCATGTCCGCAGACCTCGGAGTCTCCCTCGACTCCTCCTATGTCATTTACCTTCCTTACTTCTGTTATTAGACTCTGGTGTATAGAGATACTAGTTTCCTTCTGTAGCTTGTGACTTATGATATTCAGGTTTTGGGATTACTGTGTATTTTGAACCGTTAGTTGGTTAATTCATGTTTTCTTTTCATTATTTCGCAAATGTTAGGCTTACCTAGTCATAGAGACTAGATGCCGTCACGACGTCATACGGAGGGGAAATTGGGTCGTGACAAGTTGGTATCAGAGCTCTAGATTCATATGTGTCGTGAGTGACTAGCCGGTTTATTAGAGTCTCGTGGATTTGTACGGAAACGTCTGTACTTATCTTCGGGAGGCTATGAAACTGTTAGGAAATTTCACTACTTTGATTCTTTGTCGTTCGAAAATTGTTGACTTCAAAAATTCTAAACTTTTGTATTCTATTCTCTCACAGATAGTGAGGACACGTGCAAACGGATCTGATGACCAGGCACCCGCACCCCCTACTAGAGCCGCGAGAGGCCGGTGCCGGGGTAGAGGCCAAGGACGTCCGTGTGGTGCAGCCAGGGAACCCGCACGAGCTGCTACAGAGAAGGCCCCAGTAGCTCCAACTGGAGGGCAGACACCTGAGGTACCTATTTTTGTACTAGCCCTCTAGGAGACTCTAGCCGATTTTCTGAGCATGTTCAGCATCTTAGCTCAGACTGGATCGATCCCACTTACTCCTGCCACATCTCAGGCCGGGGGAGAAGCACAGACTCCCATCGTCGGTACTCCAGAGCAGCGGGTTCAGGTCAACCAGGTTCCAAAAATTGTACCAATGTAGCCAGTAGCTCCAGCTCAACCCGAGGTTAGGGCAGCAACTTCTGAGGTGGAACAACTCAGACTTGAGAGGTACAAGAAGTACCACCCACCTACTTTCAGCGGATTAGCTACAGATGATGATCAGGGTTTTCTGGAGGAGTGTCATCGTATTCTCCGTGCTATGGGCGTAGCGGAGACGAGCGGGGTTTCTTTTACTACATTCCAACTTAGAGGAGCAAACTATCAGTGGTGTCGTGCTTATGAGTTGAGTAGTCCGGCTGAGGCAGCTTCACTTACATGGACTCAGTTCTCGGACATGTTTTTGAGAGAGTATGTCCCTCAGAGCCTCAGAGCCTCAGGGACTCATGGCGCACGGAGTTTGAGCAGCTGCGCCAGGGATCTATGACTGTGTTAGAGTATGCGGTCCATTTCAGTGATTTGGCCCGACATGCAACGTCCTTAGTTGCCACAGCTTGAGAGAGGGTTCGACAGTTTATTGAGGGACTCCACCCCAGCATCCGGATTAGTATGGCCAAGGAGATAGAGATGGATATTTCTTATCAGCAGGTTGTGAGTATTGCCAGGAGATTGGAGGGCATGCTTGCCCAGGACAGAGAGGAGAGAGAGGCCAAGAGGTCTCGAGAGACTGGTTATTTTTCTTGTGCTCGCATCCCAGCAACTCGCCATGGTAGTGGTTATGTAAACCGCCCCATTCATTCAGCTCTTCCAGCCGCTAGTGGTGTTCCAGTTCCTCCTAGGCCCTAGAAGCCTTATTATACACCGCAAGTATCTAGTGTGCCTCCTGCACGGGGTGTTCCTAACGGCCAGTCCAGCAGGCCTGGCCCAAGCCAGTCACAACAGCCATACCCTACTAGAGCTTGTTTTGAGTGTGGAGACACTCGCCATATGGTGAGGGATTGCCCCAGATTTAGGAGGAGGCACCTCCACAGACTTCTCAGCCACAACGTGCTCCACTAGGTCCTCAGGCTATGATTATAGCACCAGCTGCCACCCCACCTTCTCAGCTAGCTCGAGGTAGAGGTCGGGGAGGTAGAGGTCTCCCTAGAGGGGGAGGCCAGGCCATATATTATGCCCTTCCTTCTCGTACAGAGGCAATTGCTTCTGATTCTGTCATTACATGTATTGTTACAGTCTGTCATAGAGATGCGTCGTTATTATTTTGATCCAGGCTCTACATATTCCTATGTGTCCTCTTATTTTGCCCCGTATTTGGGCTTATCACGGGATTCTTTGAGTTCCCCTATTTATGTGTCTACTCTTGTGGGAGATTCTCTTATTGTAGACCGCGTGTATCGGTCGTGTTTGATTGCTCTTAGTGGTTTTAAGACCAGAGCCGACTTATTATTGCTCAGCATGGTAGATTATGATGTTATCTTGGGCATGGACTTGTTGTCACCCCATTATGCTATTCTTGATTGTCATGCTAAGACAGTGATGCTGGCTATGCCGGGTTTACCGTGGTTAGAGTGGAGAGGTACCTTAGAGTATACTCCCAGCAGAGTTATTTCATTTCTTGAAGCTAATGAATGGTTGAGAAGGGGTGTGACGCGTATCTAGCTTATGTGAGAAATGTCAGTATTGATACCCCTACAGTTGAGTCAGTTACAGTAGTGAGGGACTTTCCAGATGTGTTTCCGGCTAATCTTCTGGGCATGCCGCCCGACAGAGATATTGATTTTGGCAATTGATTTGTTGTCGGACACTCAACCAATCTCTATTCCTCCATATTGTATGGATCCTCCTGAATTGAAGGAGTTGAAGGAGCAGTTACATGAATTGCTTGATAAGGGCTTCATTCGGCCTAGTGTGTCACCTTGGGGTGCTCCTGTCTTATTTGTGAAGAAGAAGGATGGTTCTATGCAGATGTGTATTGATTACCGCCAGTTGAACAAAGTCATAGTGAAGAACAAATATTGCCTCGTATTGATGACTTATTTGATCGGTTACAGGGTGCCAGAGCATTTTCCAAGATTGATTTACGTTTCGGCTATCATCAGTTGAAGATTCAGGAGACAGATATCCCGAAGACTTCTTTCACGACCAGATATGGTCACTATGATTTTCTTGTTATGTCTTTTAGGCTGACCAATGCCCCAACAACTTTAATGCACTTGATGCACAATGTGTTCCGGCCCTATCTTGACTCATTCGTCATTGTGTTTATTGACGACATTCTGGTGTACTCCTGGACTCGGGAAGATCATGAGCAACACCCGAGGACTGCACTTTAGACCTTGAGAGAAAAGAAGTTATATGCAAAATTTTCAAAGTGTGAGATTTGGCTAGACTCAGTGGCATTCTTGGGTCATATAGTATCGAGTGATGGGATCCAGGTGGATCCGAAGAAGATTGAAGCAATGCAGAGTTAGCCCAGACCGTCCTCAGCTACGGAGATTCAGAGTTTCCTTGGTTTGGCGGGGTATTACTGTCGGTTTGTTGAGGGATTTTCTTCTACTGCAGCACCTATGACCAGGTTGACCCAGAATGGTGCTCCGTTAAGGTAGACATAGGAGTGTGAGGAGAGCTTTTAGAAGCTCAAGACAGCTTTGACTACAACCCCAGTATTTGTATTGCCTACAGGTTCGGGGTCTTATACTGTATATTGTGATGCATCACGGATTGGTCTCGGCGCGGTGTTGATGCAGGACGGTAGGGTGATTGCCTACGCCTCCAGATAGCTGAAGGTGCATGAAAAGAACTATCATGTCCACGACCTTGAGTTAGCAGCTATTGTTCATGCCTTAAAGATTTGGCAGCATTATTTGTACGGTGTTCCTTGTGAAATTTACATCGATCACCGGAGTTTGCAGCATCTGTTCAAGCAGAAGGATCTTAATTTGCATCAGAGGAGGTGGTTGGAGCTGCTTAAGGATTATGATAGCACCATTTTATACCACCCTGGTAAGGCCAATGTGGTGGCCGATGCTTTGAGTCGCCGGGCAGAGAGTTTGGGGAGCTTAGCATATCTACCAGTAGCAGAGAGGCCCATGGCGTTGGATGTTCAAGCCTTAGCCGGCCAGTTTGTGAAATTAGATATTTCTGAGCCGAGTTGAGTATTGGCTTATGTGGTCTCTCGATCTTCTCTTTATGATCGTATCAGGGAGCGTTAGTATGATGACCCCCATCTGCTTGCCCTTAAGGACACGGTCCAACACGGTGATGCTAAGGAGGTCACTATTGGAGATGATGGTGCATTGGGGATGCAGGGCAGGCTATGTGTGCCCAATGTAGATGGTTTGCGTGAGTTGATTCTCTAGGAGACTCACAGTTCGCGGTAATCTATTCATCCGGGTGCCGCAAAAATGTATCAGTACTTGAAACAACATTTCTGGTAGAGGAGGATGAAGAAGGACATACTAAAGTATGTGGCCCGATGTCTAAATTGCCAACAGGTGAAGTTTGAGTATCAACAGCCAGGTGGGTTGCTTCAGAAGTTGGAGATTCCGGAATGAAAATGGGAGCGAATCACTATGAATTTTGTTTTTGGACTCCCACGGACTCAGCGGAGGTTTGATGCAGTATGGGTGATTGTGGATAGGCTGACCAAGTCGGCTCATTTGATTCCTGTGATGACTACCTATTCTTCCGAGCAACTAGCTCGAATCTACATCTGTGAGGTCGTCAGGCTTCATGGCGTACCAGTATCTATCATCTCTGACCGGGGTATGCAGTTTACATCACGGTTTTGGAGAGCTGTACAACATGATTTGGGTACTCGGGTTGAGTTGAGCACAATATTTCACCCCCAGACGGACGGACAGTCCAAGCGCACTATTCAGATACTGGAGGATATACTCCGCGTTTGTGTGATAGATTTTGGGGGTACTTGGGACCAGTTCTTGCCACTTTGCGGGGTTGCTTACAACAACAGTTATTAGTCCAGCATTTAGATGGCACCATATGAGGCTCTGTATGGTCGGCGGTGTCGGTCCCCAGTGGGTTGGTTCGAGCCGGGCGAGGCCAGATTATTGGGTACTGACTTGGTTCAGGATGCCTTGGAAAAGGTTAAGGTGATTCAGGATAGACTTCGCACAGCCCAGTCCAGACAGAAGAGTTACGTGGACCGAAAGGTTCGCGATGTAGCCCAGCCCAGCCCATATTTTCGCAGAAGCGGGCGCGCAGTGCGAGCCCAGGCTATGCAGGTGTGGAAATGCCTGGGAAGTGTTTAAAACCGAAGGGCTTCGTGATTTTGTCATTTTTGACTTTGCAAACTCGGTTTAGGGCGATATTTGAGAGCATTTTCGAGGCATTTCTTGAGGTAAGTCCCTTGTGCTTTTTTTTGATCAATAATCTTGCTTCCCAATTTGTTTTTCCTTCTAGTTAGTGTGTATTTAAGGTGGAATTTGGGAGTTTGAGGCTAGGGATTTGGAAAGTTTGATTTGTGGATTTGAAGGACCATTTAATGTCGGATTTTAGTAAATTTGATATGGTTAGACTTGTGAGTGAATGTGCTTTCGAATTTTGTGACTTTTATCTGATTCCGAGACATGGGCTCGAGTAGACCTTTTAGGACGACTTTTGGAATTTTTGTTAAAGTATTGATTTCATTAATTAGATGAGTCTATTATGGTTGTATTTATGATATGTAATTGCTTTTGGCTAGATTTGGGCCATTCGGAGCCGGATTCGTGGGAAACGCATTGTGATCAATTGATTGAGCTTGATTCGAGATAAGTGGCTTGCCTAACTTTGTGTGGGGGAAATCCCCTTAAGATTTGGAACTATTGTGATATGTGAGCACCGTGTATGTGAGGTGACGAGTAAGTACACGGGCTAGTTGTAGAAAAAAACCCGATTTGCTTATTGAGCAGCAACCTGTTTTCCTTTTATTTTGAGTTATACCATTTTAATGAGTATTAATCTATTTTCATTCTTAATTCAGTTATTCCAATATGTGTAGCTATCCTATTTAGTCTAATACAACATGTCTACATGTCTTAACTGCTTATGTGAACTCTGTGCAGCATGCTTAGTGAATTTCCTACTTCTTTCTTGATTGGTACTTAGTCTAAATCGTAAGATTTCGTGATGTAATTGCATTTCTATTGTTTGCGTTGCATATTTACTTTGGAACTACGGAACGGTATTCCGGGAGATCCCCTTGTACTGCATATTTACTTTGGGACTACGGAACGGTATTTCAGGAGATTCTCCTGTACTGCATATTTACTTTGGGACTACGGAACGTTATTCCGGGAGATTCCCATGTCTTGCATATTTACTTTGGGACTACGGAATGGTATTCCAAGAGATCCCCCTACATATTTACATTTGGGACTACGAGATGGTATCTCGGGAGATCCCCTGTTGTATTTCTGTGTATTGAGCTGTTACCTTCTATAAATTCTTTCTTGTTAAATTTCAGTCTTTATTTTACTGCGATATTTTATTTTTGCCTTGCTTTATTATCATATTCCAGTAGGGCCCGGACCTGACCTCGTCACTACTCTACCGAGGTTAGGCTTGGCACTTACTGGATACCGATTATGATGTACTCATGCTACTCTTCTACGCATATTTTGTATGCAGATCCAGGTATTTCTTATCAGCCCCGCTACTAGCTGAGAGTGCTTGTTGTTGTACGAAGACTTCAAGGTATATCTACCGCGTCCGCAGACCTCGAAGTCCCCCTTTATTCCCTCTTATGTCATTTACCTTCCTTACTTCTGTTATTAGACTCTGGTGTATAGAGATACTAGTTTTCTTCTGTAACTTGTTACTTACGATTTTCCGGGTTTTGGGATTACTGTGTATTTTGAACAGTTAGTTGTTTAATTCATGTTTTCATTTCATTATTCTGCAAATGTTAGGCTTACCTAGTCATAGAGATTAGGTGCCGTCCCAACGTCATATGGGGGGAAAATTGTGTCGTGACAGTAAATATGTGTAAAGGATGTAATAACTTAACTTAACTGTAGTTAGCATATTTGTAACTAGATTCAGTTGTTAGTTAGAGTTAGAGTTACAAGTTAGTAAGTAAGTAGTATAAAACAGAGATAGAACTCACTTTGTATCAGTTAGCAAGAAATGAAAATGTTTCTGGAAATTTCCAATTCCCTCTTCTCTCGCATGTGTTCTCTTCTTCTCACACTCCTGATTACAGAATTTTACAGGATGTCAATTCAATAGGAAATTCAAATAAAGCTAACTAACAACTGACTCAATTGCGTGACTTGGCGGACTAAAGAATTGAAAAAAATATTTTGCATATCTCAGTCTTGATTATGTTAACTTCTTCTCATAGTATATTCTCTTGACACACCTCAAGAAAAATACTTAAACTTCAATTAAGTATCAAATTTCTATCTAGCAATTTATAGAACAAGGTATCAATCATATTTCTCAAGCCTCTTATCTCTAAAGAAAACAAGGATATAGAGCAATCTGCCAATTCATATAAAATTGATTATTTCGAACGACTTTTAAAAAACTATTATCACCTCACATGTAAAATAAAAACAATGAAAGATGCTATCATTTGATTATTTTTCATACAATACATGATGCATATCTAATATTCCTATTAGAGTAGACCATAAAGTTCTTACCAACCATTTGAAACACATGATTAAAGTCGCTACGAATCACTAAAGAAAGTAGATCAACTGGAGTTTGATTTATATGATTGATCTAAACAAAGATTAGAAAGAAGAAATCATGTGTTTGTCTTCAATAGACTGCAAATAAGAACTTTATGGCCAATACTTCTAAATCAAACTCTCATAAATACTGGATGTTATTGCCAAATAGACTACGCAATGAAGACAGCCAACCAACAAGTAATGAAAAGATTATAAACTGAAAAGAAATCGGATGCCTCACATACTTTCACATGCCTCTTAGTACATGTCTACCAAGCGAGGACCAATTTCTTTTGTGTAATATTTCCAGCTCAAGGGCTGACGCTCCTGCATGATTAAGAAGGGGAGATCCATTCGATGTTAGAGCCTTTAAATTTTTTCAATCCAGTAAATTAAACATATGTAAAAAAGATTACTCAAAAGTGTAATAAAAACCAGATACCAATGATAAAATCTAAAAGAAAATGAATACTAAATTTAATTCAAGTACATTAAACATATATGAAAAGAATATATCTGAATCAGTAAATTCAAGTCAATTGATGTTGCCAAGTATGCCTATTTAAAAGAAGAGAAAGTCCTACAATAGCACTCCATAGCTCACATAAGAGAATATATAAATGACCAAAAAATACCACACAAAGCTCTTGATTCAATCAATATAATCAATTAAGACTCATCCATGTACAGTGAAGCTCGCGAAGTCACAACGCTGAAAGTAGCATGGATTGCACAACCACTGAACCAAAACAAACAGCCACCTCACCTCACTGGAATAATGGTGTCGGCACAATCAATACATATGGAAAATGAGGGAAAAGTAGAGTGGACCTTGCTTATTTGGAGTTAGGAGTTGATAGAGCAAATCAAACCAACGATGGAACTCTAGATTCGCACAATGAAGGTTGGCGATTGGAGACTCAAAGCTTCCTGTTCGAAAGCCACATCACTCAATTTCCAATCGAGGACCTTAGGGGAAGTGATTAAGAGAAGAGAGACGACGGATTCGCCGGATGCGCCAGATCGGTGGGAGGGATAGGGAGAGTTTTTGTTTTTTCCAATTTAGAAGGATTTATAGTATTTTCACACTTTCCTCCAGGGTGACTCGAACCCAGGACCTAACGGTTGTGGGTGGAGGTATTTTACCAACCGACCAGGCTCAATTGTTGAAGGGTTTGTTAGGGTGAGAGTGACAGAGGGGGTTCTATCTTTTAGGGTGAGATTAGTGCCTGATAGAAATAAAGGTAGCAACGGTCTGATTACGCCATATTATATACTTAACCGTCGTTTTCCAAATAAATAATATGGTTGTTGAACTAACGCCATAATGTTTTGCTTATTACAACAGTTTGAATAAGCCGCCATTTTAAAATCTCCATTAATTTTCCGATTTTTGTAGTGCTATACCAATAAGAGTACAAAAGAGAGTACAAAATTAGAGTAAATATTCTAATTAATCCCAAATACCCTAAGGGAATAACCTCACAAGATCACTCCAAAGAAAGGGTTCACACAAGTACTTTCTAACACTTAATTCTCATACAAAACACTCTTAATAAAGGAGGAAAGAAAGAAACAAGAAATGAAGACTCAAGTCTTGTTGGTGTGTTTAAAATGAACTAATGTCCTTTCCTTTTATAGGCAAAAAAATATTTGCCTCTTAGTTGTAAAAGAAATTATACAACTTGTGCAAATGATATCCACCACACAATGCAATATTTTTGGGTCCCAAAGAATATTGCCATCAAAGTCTACACTTTGCAAATATGTTTATGCTTTTATGTGAGATAGACTCCATTAGCCAAAATATTGGTCATATTACAAATCTCCACCTTGGCCTAAATTTGGCTGATATAATAAATTTGCTCCAACTTCTCCGCAAAAGCCCCAGTGGGCATATGTCAAAATTTAATGCCATCAAAATCAGACAAGTTGTCTGATACCGAAATTGTAGTAGGGCCTATAAAAGTGGATATACAACGAACCAGATCTGTGTGCTTTCATGATCACAAGAGCACAATGAGAAACTTTTAGAACTTCACCTTCACCTGTGTACTTGCACCCAAGAAATTCTAGAGTGCCTAAAGAGATGAGACTTTTCTTCAAGTCAGGAACATGTCTAACAACGGTGAGAATTCTCACCATACTATCGTGCATTTTGATTCGGACTGTACCTTTTTCAAAAACTTTGCAGGCAACATTGTTGCCCATCAAGATAACTCCACCTCCAATAGATTCATATGTGGTAAATAAATTCTGATTGGGACACATATGATAAGAACAACCTGAATCTAAAATCTACTGATTGTTAGATTTGAAACTATTATTAGTTGCTAAAAAAATAGTTCCCTCAGTCTCATCAGCAGTTACACTTGCTTCGGCAATGTCAATATTTTTGTGCTCATTTTTCCTTTCCTTATGCTTTTCTTTATTTTTCAGCTTATAGCATTCAGATATAATGTGACCTTTTTTATGAAAATAGAGACACTCTAAATTATTGTATTTGGATATGGAGTCGGATTTGCCCCTAAAGAATATGCCAACTTCCACTTGAGTTTCACTAGCTTTCCTAGTAATATCTCTATCTATCTGTTCTTTTTATTTTAAGATAGATTTAATATCATTATAAGAGATATTATCCTTTGCATAAAATATAGTATCTTTTATATTCTTAAAAGATGGGGGTAGAGAACAAAGCAGTAACACGGCTTGATCCTCATCTTTAATTTCCACATCTATATTACTCAAATCCATAAGAATAGAATCGAAGGTGTCAAGATGAGAGAGAATAGAGGTACCTGCACCCATACGAATTGTATAAAGCTTCTGCTTCAGGTAAAGTCTATTTTTCACCGTCCTTTTCATATATAAGGTTTTCAATTTTTCCTACATTCCTTTGGCTGTGGTTTCTACAGAAACTTCACGTAAAACCTCATTTGAGATATTTAAAATGATACATGCTTTTGCCTTTTTGTCTATGATGGAAAACTCCTCATCCACCATTTTATCTGGATTCTTCTCCTTTCCTTGCAACGCCAAATCTAAGCCATCATGAATTAGGATAGCTTCCATCTCAACATAAGTCTTTGTTAAAGTCATATTGGCTACTGAAACAAATCCGGTTAGATCCGGCTCTGATACCAATTTGTTAGGTTCGGGAAATCGGGTAATGCAAAATTTAGCCAAACAACGTTATAATGACAATAACAAAGACAATGCAAGTTGATAATAACAGCAATTAAAGTAGATAAAGAAGACACCAATTTAACGTGGTTCCGTCAGTGTGACCTACGTCCACAAGTAGAGATGGGCAATTTTACTATACCAATAAGAGTACAAAAAAGAGCACAAAATTAGAGTAAATACTCATATTAATCCCAAATACCCTAAGGTAATAACCTCACAAGATCACTCCAAAGAAAGGGTTCACACAAGTGCTTCCCAACACTTAATTCTCATACAAAACACTCTTAATAAAGGAGGAAAGGAAGAAACAAGAAATGAAAACTCAAGTCTTGTTGGTGTGTTTAAAATGAACTAATGTCCTTTCCTTTTATAGGAAAAAAAGTCTTGGCCTCTTAGTTGTAAAAGAAAAGATATAACTTGTGCAAATGATATCCACCACACAATGCAATATTTTTGGGTCCCAAAGAATATTGCCAACAAAGTTTACACTTTACAAATATGCTTATGCTTATGTGAGATGGACTCCATTAGCCAAAATATTGGTCATATTACAAATGGCTTCTTTTGCTTTTCAGAGTGCAGCACTGATGAGGACTGCATGTATGCCGGTTCTTGTAACATATGCAAAAGTTTTGATCCTAATCTACGCCTAAATTAAAGGATCATTCATGGCGTATTCAACTTGATCGAGATGAATTCTACTACTCATGTTTTGTGTTGTTGGTAAATTGTTGTCTTTTCTTTTCCCCTTTTCAGATTTGTTTCTCAAAAGGAAAAATAAAGTAAAATAATGAGACCAAGTTCAAATGTTCTTGGGGCATGCATGATGCATGGTCTACAACTGTTTCTGCATTTGTACTTCTAATAAGAATCTCGACCAGCTTGCTTAATTATTGATAGGCTATATGTATATCCCTGTTATGTTTTGATAATCTAACAAACTTACTGTCAAGAACCAGATAAGGAACCTGTTACACATTCTCAAGGCCTTAAGATCAAAAGGTTCCAGCTTGGGATATGGTTCAACTCTTCAAAGTCAAAGGAACAATATTGGAAACAGATAACTACCGTTTCCCAAGGAAACTGCACAAGTTAACTGCCCCAGTTGTAAAGTTGTTGCCTGCACACGCTTCGGTACAGAAATAACGCAGCAGTCAACTTTATGGGGAGTGTCTTTTACCTACCTTGCTTACATCATCCTAGTGATGTCACAAATGCATTATTAGCGTCAAGGAAGGTAAAACAAATGACTCGAACACTTTGAGAATTTACTCAAGCACACTCATAGTGATTGATCATCAAGAAAACGATTCTCAAGTGCATCAAGAACAAAGAACAACACTACTACGGACCATTTCTCCATATCAAGTTATTGTATGTCCTTAGTTGAGTTGTAACTTTATAATAGTTCTTCAATTGTAATTCCTACTTAGCGTGCTTAGAAGTATTACGTAGGAAACCCTTTGTAAATCATAAACCCTTATGTTTGTGTCTTGGCTAGAGTTAGTCGAGTTGTAAAGTCTTTGTAATAGAGTTACTACAAAGTGGCTTGTAATAGAATATTGCATAGTGAGGGATTAAGAGGTTAATTCCTAGGTTACATAGGTTGTAATCTGAAAGTTGCTCAGTAGTGAAGTTGAAATCCTACAAGGGTAGGTGGTGGTTTATAATCCCGTTGAGCTGGGAAATTTCCACGTAAAATTCCTCCTGTCATTTACTCACTGCAGTGTGTGTGGTTTCTATGGGAACTTATATTTGTGGGAACTTATGAAGAACCTGTTTCTCTATATAGTTTGGTGGACCCTTAAATTTTATCAATTGGTATCAGAGCATGTTCTTTATATCAGGCTAACGCCTAGAAAGGATCCTCATGGCTGCTCCACCAAACTTTGAAGAAGTTCAGTCCACCTACAGGCTACCAAGGTTCAATGGCCAGTATTATGGATGGTGGAAGACAAGGATGCACGATTTTATCATGGCTAAAGATTCCGAGCTCTAGGACGTTATCTGTGATGGACCATTCGTTCTCACAAAAACCAGTGGTGACCCTGCTGTAACTATTCCCAAAATAAGAAAAGCATTTAATGATGCCGACCGGAAAGCCATAGAGAAGAATTTTCGTGCAAAGAAAATCCTTGTCTGTGATATTGGTCCTAATGAATACAATAGGATATCTTCATGTCAGTCAGCCAAGAAAATCTGGGAAGCTCTCCAGATAACTCATGAAGGAACAACACAGGTCAAGCAATCCAAGATCGATATGCTCACAACTGAATACGAGCTCTTCAGGATGAAAGATGATGAATCCATCCAAGATATGCATACTCGCTTCACCTCTATCATTAATGAGCTCCACTCTCTTGGTGAAATTATTCCAAAAAACAAGCTTGTTAGGAAAATCCTTAGTGTGCTGCCCAGTTCTTGGGAAAGCAAAGTAAACGCCATTATAGAGGCGAAGGACTTGTAGAAGCTGACCATCGATGAACTCGTTGGCAATCTGAGAACATATGAAATGAAGAAAAAGAAGGACAATGAAAGAAGAGAGACCAAAAGAGAGAAGAACCTGGTCCTCAAGACGGACATCAATGATTCAAGTGGTGAGGATGGTGATATGGCTTACTTGACAAGAAGATTTCAGAAGATGGTTTGCAGAAATGGAGGCATTTCAAAAAGTGGGAGTTCTAGCAAGCCAAAAAACTATGACCTCTGTCATAAGTGTGGCAAGCCAGGATACTTCATCAAGAACTGTCCCCTCCTAAAGAAGGATCAATTCAAGCACAACATAGACAAAGCAGCCATGAGGAACCCGGTTCCTGATAAATGCTTCAAGAGAAAGAATGTCGCTGACAATATTGTGAAAAAAGATCTTGCTGCATGGGGAGATTCCTCCAGCGAATTTGAAAAAGAAAATAATCACGGTGATAGTTCAATAATGGTAGTAGAAAGTGAATCAAATGAGTATGACTCAATCTTTGCCTTGATGGCTCAGTCTGATGATGATGAGGATGACGACGATGATGAGGTAAATTTTCTGGATGTTCAGAGAAATCTG